GCTTAAGTACCAAGTCTATGGTACCGTGTGTATACCAAGCTTATGGTTAAGTGCCAAGTCGTAAGCCCGGCGTTGAGTACTGAGTCTTTGATGCGTACCAAGTATCACGCCTTTGAGCAATACCAAGCTGAATGTTAGGTACCGAGTCTTTGAAACGTACCAAGCATACGGTTAAGTATCACACTTTCGAAAAGTGCCCAGCCGAATGATAGGTATCGCGTCTATAGTTAGCACCAAGCATAATTTTCATAACCAAATATATGGTAAGCACGAAGCCCGACGTTATATGCAACATCAAAGATAAGTACAAATGTGTATAATTTAGTACCGCATTGATCATATATCAATCGTATCGTTAAACGATAAGCACCAAGTCTAGGGTTCAGAACCGCACGTGCGGTAGCCAGCCCAGTGTTAAGTGTTAGAAACTGAAAGCTTCAGTTTATTGATGAAGCAAAGGCATTATATAGGAGGAGAGAGATCAGCTAGGAAGGGAAGGTTGGAAGGGAAGGGGGGGGTTAGGACCAATCACAACGGAGGGAGGATCCTCCCAAATGTGGTTGACAAGTGGGAGGTGGTCCAAGTGTGGTGGACCACAAGTGGCTTAAGCAACCCACTTGTGGTGCCCCCACAATTGTGGTCCTTGGGTTTGGGGGCTCCAATCACAATTGGATTGGATTGACACCCCAACATAGGTGTACACCGAACTAGGGATGTAAACATTAAGTTGTGATTTTTTCAGTTTTGTGTGCTCCTTACCAAGTCTATGGCACGTACCGAGTCTATGGTAAGGACCAAACACTATTTTCAGTACCTTATCTATGGTCAGTACCAAGCCTAAGGTTAAGCACCGAGTTAAGGGTAAGGCTAAGCCTTTCGTTAAGTACCGAATACTTGGTAAGTACCAAGCTTGAGGTTACGCCTATGGGAAGTTCCACGCAACGTGAAGTACTGAGTCTATGATAAGGGCCAAACAAAATGTTCAGCACGATAGCTAAGCCTTAGGCTTAGGACCGAGTTTAGGGTAAGCACTAATCCTAGCGTTAATTACCGAGCCTTGATAGTACGAAGCCTAGGGTAAGTACCACATATGTGGGAGTGCCAAGCCATCGGTCAAGTACCAAGTCTATGCCAAGTAGTAAGCGTGGCATTGAGTGCTGAGTCTTCGATAAGAATCAGGCTTATGGTTACGTATCACGCCGTTTGAAAAGTACCAAGCCCAATGTTAGGTACCAAGTCTCTAGTTAGCACCAAGATAAACTTTCATAACCAAGTGTATTACGAGCACCAAGATCGACATTCTATGCCACATCTATGGTAATTACAAAAGTGTAGGACCAAACACTATTTTGAGTATCTCATTTATGGTTGTCTAAGGTTGAGTACCGAATTTAGTGTAAGTCTAAGCCTAGCGGGAAGTACTGAGTCTTTGGTGAGTAACAAGCTTGACGTTAATGTTGTTAGAAACAGAAAGGTTGGGTTTATTGATGAAGCAAAGGCATTACATAGGAAGAGAGAGATGAGCTAGGAAGGGAAGGTTGGAAGGGAAGGGGGGTTAGGACCAATCACAAAGGAGAGAGGATCCTTCCAAATGTGGTTGAACACAGGTGGGAGGTGGACCAAGTGTGGTGGACCACAAGTGGCTTAAGCAACCCACTTGTGGTGCCCCCACAATTGTGGTCCTTATGCTTGGGGCTCCAACTACAATTGGGTTGGATTGACACCCCAACACAGGTGTACACCCAACTAGGGATGTAAACACAATATATACAAATAGCATCGCATGGTATATTCTAACAAATTTCTATGGGATACCAAGCCAAACGTGAAGTGCCAAGTCTATGGTTAGGGCCAAAAATGATTTTCAGTATCGTCTCTATGGGTATTACTAAGCCTAGGCCTTAGGACCGAGTTTAGGGTAAGTATTGACTGTAACGTCCAGTTCCAAGCCCTTGAGCGCGGGGGAAGATTTAGGGGAAGGGGGAGCAGTGGGTTGGCGGGGGATGGGGCGCATGGTATGGGTGGCCCCCGCCAGGGTTTCTGGTTTATGTGGGAGGGGGAATGAGAGGAGCGCACATAGGGAAAGGGGAAATGCGGGGCATGGGGGAAGGGGGGACATGGGGAAGGGGGGGACATGGGGAAGTGGGGGACATGGGGAAGGGGTTCTGGGAGAAGGAGACTTGGGGAAGGGGACTTGGGGGAAGGGAAGATTAGCAGAATGCAAGCGCAGCAGATTGAGCAGGAGGCGAATCAGCGACCACAAAATGTGGAGGAGGGGCAGCAGGGTGGGTAGAATGAGGAGCAGCAGCAGTAGCAGCAGCAGCAGCAGCAGGAAGAGAAGAAGGCGTGTCTTGTGTCTTCTGCCCCTTGCCCTCCCCTTACTATTCCTGTTTCAACTGTCAAACTCTCCTCCTCCTCCCCCTCATCTCCCTCCTCCTCCTCCTTCCACACAGACTGCAGAAGCCGCTATAGACGCTACTATGGATGTTGCTACAGATGCTGCAACCGATATTGCAAGCAGTGAAGCTACAAATGCCGCTACAGATAGTGACGCCACGGCTGCTACAGATGCTGCAGCAGCCCCGGTCACTGCCCCTCTATGCACCGATGCTACAGCTGGTGGTGCCTTTGCCACGGCTGCTACTGTTGATGGTGCGTCTGCTCTGCTGCTAAAGCTGGTGGTGCCTCGGCTGCTAATGCCTTTGATGCCTCTCCCCTTCTTCTGAATGTCGCTGCTACTGCATCCGATTCGTTTTCTACTCCTCCTGCTGCTCCTGCTCCTGCTCCTGATCCTGCTCCTGCTCTTGCTCCTGCTCCTGCTCCTGCTCCTGCTCCTGCTCCTGCTCCTGTTCCTGCTCCTGCTCCTGCTCCTGCTCCTGCTGCTGCTGCTTCCATGCAACATCCAACAATAGCAGTGGCACTAGCAGTAACAGCAGCACCAGAGAATCAGGACTTACTGCCATTAATGGCCGTGCCAGCAGCAGCCATATTAGCATTAGCAGTGCCAGCACCACCACTATCAGCAGCAGCAGCAAAGCAGCAGCATCAGGAGCAGCAGCAGAAGCAGTACCTGCACCAGCAGTACGAACCACTTTAACGCCACACGCCCCAGCACCAAACACAGTACTAGCACCAGCAGCAACGGCGCCAGCACCAGACACAGTAGCAGCACCAGCAGCAACGACGTCAGCACCACAACCTCAAGCACCACAAGCCACAAGCACCACAAGCTCAAGCACCACACGCACAAGCACCACAAGCACCAGCACCAGCACCAGATGCAGCCCCAACGCCAGCAGCTGTATTATCAATAGCACTGCAAACGACAGCATCAGAAGTAGCAGCATCACCAGCAGCAACACAGCCATCACATGCAGCAATACCTTTAGCATCACCAGCAGCAGCAGTGGCAGTAGCAGTGGCATCAGCATCACCAGCAGCAGCAGCTGTGCCACCACCGCCAGCGCCTTTAGCAGTATTTCCATTAGCACCACGCACACCAACAGCAGAAACAGCAGCATCATCACCAGTAGCAGCAGTGCCATCAGCAGCAATACCACCACCACGAGCAGTGGCCGCATCATCACCAGCAGTAGCAGTGGCATCATCACCCGCAACAGCTACGCAGTTAGCAGGAGTAGTACCATCACCAGTCCCAGCGGCAGTACCGTCACTAGTACCATCAGCAGTGCGAGTGGCAGCAGCAACGGGCAGAGGGGGAGGAGGAGCGGTGGACAGGGAGGGAGTGAGAGGGAGAGGAACAAAGAGAGGAGGGATAGAGGACAGAAAAGAAGCTGTGGGCAGAAGAGAAGCTGTTGACACAGCTCAAAAGAGTGAAGGCGAGGAGGACAAGGGGGATAGTTATGAGTCGACTCAAATGGCAACTCAAAAGCGAAAGCATGAAGAGGACAGGGGGATGGTTATGAGGCACATAAGAAGAGAAAAGGCAGGGAGAGTAGGGAAGCGGTGGAGGGGAGATTGAGGGAATGTGTGGGGGAAAGGCGGCTGTGGCAGCTTCTGGAAGATAGAAGCTCGTTGCTGGCGTCTCTAAAGGCGCACGTGAAGCTGCTGTGGAAAGCAGGGATAGAGGCAGTGCAGGTGAGAGGTGCGGTTTGAGGTGAATATGAGAACTGGTCAGAGGGAGGTCGAGGGGGAGTGTGGGGTGCGAGAGGCGGCTTTAGCAGCTGCTGGAAGACAGAAGCCCGTTGCTGGCTTCTCTAAAGGCGCACATGAAGCTGCTGTGGAAAGCAGGGATAGAGGCAGTGCAGGTGAGAGGTGCGGTTTGAGGTGAATATGAGCACAGGTCAGAGGGAGGTCGAGGGGGAGTGTGGGGTGCGAGTGTCAGCTGTAGCAGCTGCTGGAAGACAGAAGCCCGTTGCAGGCGTCTCTAAAGGCGCACGGGAAGCACCTATGGAGAGCTGGGAAGACAGGCAGTGCAGGTAACGGGATTGGTGCGGGTAAAATGAGAAACTAGATGGAGAATTATTGGTGACATCCTTTCCCTCTGGCTTCCCACCCCTCCCTACACTCACCCACGCTCCTTACTCAGCCGTTTCAAGACCTGCTATTGGCGCATGAAATTGGTGTGGAAGTCCCGAAGGGGAAGAGGAAAGGGGCTCTCTGACTGTTCGCACTGCTACTGGAGCACCGGAGGTGAAATCCTTGCCCTATTTCTTTCCCCCCACCTTGCCCCCTCTCCCCCTTCCTTACCAGCCGTTTCAAGCCCTGCTACTGGTGCTAGAATTCACGCTAGACAACGTGAAGGGCAAGAGGATAGGGGCGCTTCAACTGTTTGTACTGCTGCTGGGAGCACCGAAGGTGACATCACGTCCCTCTTTCTTCCCCCTCCCTGCCTTTACCCCTCCCCCACTTCCATTACCAGCAGTTTCAAGACCTGCAACCGGTGCTTGAAATCAGGCTAGAAGACCTGAAAGGGGAGAAGAAGGGGCTTCTTCAACTGTTCGCCTTGCTGCCGGGAGCACTGGAGGTGACTTCCCTGCGCTCTTTCTCCCCCTTCCCATCTTTACCCCTCCCCTCCGTCCTGTTACCAGTCGTTTCAAGACGTGCTAGTGGCACACAAATTCACCCTAGAAGACTTGAAAGGGGAGAATTAAGAGGCTTTGCAGCTGTTCACGCTGTTGCTGGAGCAACAGAGGTGACCCTCTCTGTCTCCCCACCCACCCTACACTCCCTTCCCTCCCTTCCCTCCCTTCCCCTTACCCAGCCGTTTCAAGACCTATTGCTGGCACATGAGATAACTCTAGAGACTAGAAAGGAAGAAGAAGGGGCTCTTCAGCTGTTCGCGTTGCTGCTGGGAGCACCGGAGGTAAAGTCGTTATGAAAGGATGAGTTGGCAGAAGTGATTATAAGGGCGGATGCATGGGAGAGAGTGAGGGGGGATGGGAGGGGGAAGAAAGGAGGGAAAAGAGGGGTTGAGAGGGGGGAGGAGAGAGAGGGGGAGACGCAGGGATAGAGGTGGGGAGAAAGAGACTAGAGCAGAAGCTGGTGTGGAGATGGGAAGCGAGAGAGGAGGAGAAAGAGGGGCTACTGCAATGGCAGCAACAGGATCATCTGTGGGTGACGCAGCCACGACCGCAGCAGCAGCAGCAGCAGCTGCAGCCATAGCAGTAGCAGGAGAATTACCACCACCATTTCCACAACCAATAGTAGCCGCTAACTCAGCAGTAGCTTCAACAGCAGCAGCAGCCACTAACTCAGCAGTAGCAGCAGCATGCACAAAAACAGCAGGACCAGCTGTGCCCCTACCCACAGCACCTTCAGCAGCAGCTCTACCAGCAGCACCGTCCCCAGCATCCCTCCCAACTGCACAGAACCGCACAGCATCCCTGCAACCTCCCTCGCAGTTGCCAGGAGTCCTTTTACCTCAGGAAATTGGGCTGTCAGGTATCAGGACGAGCGGATTGCAAGGTTAAACCAGCCTGCAGATGTGCTTCTAACGGAGTTCCTTGAAAGGAGGATGCAATGAGAGTACACGGAGGAGCGGGAGCTGCTGGCTGCCAAGCTGGAGGCATACGTACGATCACTCATCAGGACGAACCGAAGGGCGCTCAAGGTGAGGCACAACTAGCGGTTCACACTCTTAAGCTGGAGGCGTACGTGGGAGGGAGGGTGTATACGGAGGAGCGGAAGCTGCTGGCTGCCAAGCTGGAGGCATACGTACAATCGCTCATCAGGGACAAACCCAAGGGTGCTCAAGGTGAGGCACAGCTAGCGGTTCACACTCTTAAGCTGGAGGCGTACGTGGGAGGGAGGGCGTATACGGAGGAGCGAGAGCTACTGGCTGCCAAGGTGGAGGCATACGTTCGATCGCTCATCAGGACGAACCCCGATACGTTCGTATCCTTGGTGCTGGTACTTCTATCCTTGGTGCTTGTACTACTATCCTTGTGCGGGTACTACTATCCTTGGTGCTGGTACTACTATCCTTGGTGCCGGTACTACTATCCTGGGTGCCGGTACTACTATCCTTGGTGCCGGTACTACTATCCTTGGTGCCGGTACTACTATCCTAGGTGCCGGTACTACTATCCTTGGTTTTGGTACTACTATCCTTGGTGCCGGTACTACTATCCTTGGTGCCAGTACTACTATCCTTGGTGCCGTACTACTATCCTTGGTGCCGGTACTACTATCCTTGGTGCGCGGTACTACTATCCTTGGTGCCGGTACTACTATCCTTGGTTCCGGTACTACTATCCTTGGTTCCGGTACTACTATCCCTGGTTCCGGTACTACTATCCCTGGTTCCGGTACTACTATCGTTGGTTGTGGTACTACTATCTTGTTTGTATACTATCCTTGGTTCTGGTACTACTATCCTTGGTTCTGGTACTACTATCCTTGGTTCTGGTACTACTATCCTTGGTTTTGGTACTACTATCCTTGGTGCTGGTATGACTATCCTTGGTTCTGGTACTACTATCCTTGGTTTTGGTACTACTATCCTTTAATCTGGTACTACTATCCTTGGTGCTGGTACTACTATCCTTGGTTCTGGTACTACTATCCTTTGTTCTGGTACTACTATCCTTGGTTCTGGTACTACTATCCTTGGTTCTGGTACTACTATCTTTGGTTTTGGTACTACTCTCCTTGGTTCTGGTACTACTATCCTTGGTTCTGATACTACTATCCTTGGTGCTGGTGCTACTATCCTTGGTTTTGGAACTGCTATCCTTGGTTCTGGTACTATTATCCTTGATCTGGTACTACTATCCTTGGTGTTGGTACTACTATCCTTGGTTCTGGTACTACTATCCTTGGTTCTGGTACTATTATTCTTTGTGCTGGTACTACTATCCTTCGTCCTGCACTGCACAGCGGAGGAGGATCTGCAGTTTGAGAAGCGGGACGTGCTGAGGGTGGTGGCGCTGATGCTGGGATGCACCGTGACTGCCAAAACAAAGAAGCTGGGCCCAGTCAAGTCCATCACTGGCAATCTGCTCAGGCAGGTTGATTTCTCAAAGCCTCTCGGCCTCCCCCCTCCAATTCCTTCGCCCCCAATCCTGCTCGCTCCCCCTTTCTGTCCCTGTTATAAGCAGGTATACATGACGCTGTTCTCTGCACAGTGCGCAGCGGAGGAGGATCTGCAATTTGAGAAGCGGGACGTGCTGAGGGAGGTGGCGCTGCTGCTGGGGTGCGCCGTGACTGCCAAGGCGAAGAAGCTGGACCTGGTGAAGGCTATCGGTGGCAGTCCGCTCTGGCAGGCATATAAAAGGAGAGAGAGGGGAAGAGGGGTTCAGATAAAGGTGGAGGAGGGGTGGGAAGAGGAGGAAGAAAGGAGCACCAGCACCAGCACCAGCAATATCACCACCAATTACAGTAGCAGCGACAACTGCAACAGCAGCAGCAGCAGCAGCAGCAA